AATAACTGCATATACCTACTATTTTTAAAAAGTATGCACTAATGATATTAAAGCTGTTCTGCAGCAGTATACCCACGTCATTATCCCCTGTTCCAGTTAGAGCTAGTCAACTCCACATGGAAAACACAAACTTTTGCTGAAGAAAGAATGGCGCAGCCATCTTGCACACAAGATTCAAGCGTGATGGAACACCAGGAATCAGACATTATGAGCTAAAAATATCTGAGAGTAAACAGACCATGAGCCATCTGTTGCTGCATCTCCCCACCACCCGAAGTTCCAAATAAAATCAGAGATTTCTATTGTGCATTTAGTGAGGGTCATTAATTCCCATCTTTCTAGTTGTTATAGAACGATCTAACTATACTTTCTTGCAAAGCAGTTTTAAATAGTTTTTAAAGGATTCTTTATATATTGTAAGTCTATAAGCATTACTTCAACTGTATTTAAGTTTTGCATTGGTTAAGTCAGAATGAAAAGCCACTCGACCATGTGTTATTAAAGTATATTACAGGTAAATTTTGACAACCAAATATTTTTATTGCAGAAAAACATCTGTGTTTATAGTCACAATTCCTAAACCTAAAATTAAACATCCTGGCACACCTGCAATTTTGAATGTTAATTTTCAGGGTGATTTGGTTTTGCCTTTTTTTTGTGTTTGTTTAGCTTTGGTTAGGGATTTTTTAAAATTAAAAAAAACTCTTGCAACAAGAGCACTGATTAGTTTCCTTCTTTCTTTCACCTCCTATTCCAAAGTATTAATCACCATTTAAACTTTACATGTATACCTACATATATACAAACACACATGTACACACACACACCCCACTGTACTTATAGATAACTCTCTCTTTTTCCAAGGAATCATTGTCATCTTTAAGCTATTTGTGAAAAGGTTATTCTTGAAAACAAGGACATTATCTGCGCTGCAATTAGTTTCTCCGGATAAAGATCCAGCATGTTCCATCCTGTGTCTCCTAATGAAGAACTGTACGTAATGGTATGCAACAGATGTAATTTTTATTATAAATAGGATTTGAGATATAAGCCAAACTGTTGTATTCAGTTTCCTTTTTGAAAAATAGTGTTAGCTCTTCAAAAAGAATTTTTAAAAAATCATATATACTGAGCTAGCTTCCTTAGAATTCTCCCTCAGTCTGGACTCTAATGCATCTCAGGGATCCAAATTAAATATTAGACCTTCAATACATCAAAATTTGTGTTCAGATAAGACGTGTTGGAAACCTAATCATCTTTGTACTCAAGAAGCATAATAAATAAAAATAGCAGAAGCATTTGAAGTATGTGAAGCTCTTAATATTATGATGGCTTTCACTAAAAGACGAGCCCTACTTATGCCATAAAACTTGCTAAATTAACTTTTCCTTGCACTATAAATTTTTTCCACCTGAGATGCACAAGCAATGGACTGGAGACTGTTACTCTTACAGATGCAACAGGTAGCCTAGAAAGAGTTTTCTCTATTAAAGAAGCATCATATCAGTGAGATGCCCACTGTAAAGTGAAATGCTGTGCCTGCCAAAATTCAAGACTATTGCCTACAGATCTCTTCTATGCCCAAGAGGCATATCAGAAACACTACATACTCTTCAGTAGAAAAACTTTAAATTTTTTTCTGATTTTTTTCCTCTATCCTGAGGAATACATTTGAGAGAGAGTGTATACATATATATATACATATATATCTTTCAATCACTGTTTTATTCCCTATGCTTTAAATATATTTATTAAATCAATCATACTAGACCAAGGGGTGACAGACTTCCATAGAAAACTCAGTTATTCAAACGAAGATTTGCTATGCTGAAATAATTCATATTTTCCCTACATATTCTCAAAAGCATGACAGAAAAGCCAGTATTTGTTTCCATTTTTCAGAATTCTCTTCTTTTAAATACTCCATGATACCATGATAGTATATTCTCTACCATGCTATTTTGCTTAAAGTACCACCTTCTAGCTTTCATTTAATTTTGTATTGATTTTGTATTTTGAATGCAATTCATCATTATTGAGAGCTGTCTCTAGCATTTGCTCAGCAGAGACTGCTTTCTGTTTCCTGCATACTAATTAAGTGCTATGGAACACAGAAACAGACTTAGGGTTGAGAAGCTTTTTTCTAAACCATACTTCATTTGGGACTGAAAACAGTTTTAAAAGATGCATACTCTTATATACTATATTCATTCACCATCATGCTGTTGGACTAGGTGAACACTGTAAGTCCCTTCCAACTGATATATTCTATATTCTGCTTCTTCCTCATTTAAGTTTTTACCTCCCAATCTTTGTACTACCAAAACCCACTGCAAATTATGTGCCTTGAAGGAGTGCTAATGTTTCAGATATATTTTGTTAAATAAAAAGACTGAATAAAAGCACAAATTACACCAGTTGTGATTAGTACTGATATATGGCAGAGGTGGCATCCTCATAACTAATGTATTCAAATCTAGAGTTGTGTAGCACTCTCAGGTAACAGAAATATAAACTGTACTTGAGAGGTAAACTATGAACACATGAAAGTTATTTTCTAAATGCTGAAGTCTCCACAATTTTCTGCTGTGTCCTTACATTCAATAAGTACTCATTTTCATCACCTATCAGAAACACAGCAGCCTTCTCTTTACGCAGTTTCACTAGGGCTCAAACAAAATGTCCATGATAAAGTAGACATAAGCATCTCCAAATAAGCATCATTCTATAACAAATGAAATCAAAAGTTTTTTCATTTCCATAGACTCTGCAGGTTACCTCCTGCTCCAACTTAAAAACAAACACAATCTACATTTTAATTAATCATTTTAGAAGAATCTTTGCATGTGTACTCATTGCATATGTATACAAATGACTGAAGTATTTAAGTACAACACCCATCAAGACCCCTAATTTCATTAATAGATACTTTACTCGTTTTTGAAAACTGTACTTCAAAACCATATTTTTGGGGTTGCTTGGGGTAAAATTCCAGTCTAAGTCAAAAAAACTACAAAACTAGTCACTAAGTCAAACTGTAAAAGCTAGATTTGCCTTTAGTTTCACTTACAAACAAAAATAAATAAATAAAACCAGGATTTAAGCTAACACTTCACAGTCCCTTAAGTCTATAGTTTCTTGATCACCTTGAGGCAGAATAAACCAGCACCACTGCCAAAAGAATTGATCCTGTCCTCTGTACCAACTCCAGCCACTCATACACCCCCCTACATGTGCCTTCACTCAGTCCCACAGTGAACTGAATTGGGAAATTGATCCATGTCCAATTAATCAAAAAGAAAAAACCTTCCTAGGGAGATGCATTCAAAATTGCCTTCACCGCTTCCTGATTTATCTTCCCAGTTCTCTCAACAGAAATTAAAATAAGGCAAAGCCACATTTCAGGACCTCCTAGCATGACATTGGCCGTGCAGCTCCAAGGAAGCAGAGAGAGACCTGCCTGAAACATGTTTGTTATTGGTAGTGGAGGCAAAGCTATCAGACTTTGGGATCTATGGGACATCCATTTGGAAAACCATTTCTGTGAAAACTGCTTCAGGTATCCCACTTGTAATACATCTGTCTGAACTGGCTGAGTCTGTCAGTTGGGTGGCCAATGCTATGGAAAGGCTGATTCGTACAGAATCAAACAGTCCTTCACAAATCAGCTTCTCTTCTGTTATGAGATGGTTTCTGAACATCTGGGCTGTTTAGACACACAGTGTGATATAGCTGGCCCTTGATACACAGGAGTACCAAGTACATTCTGCTTGTGATCCAGCAGTCCAAAAGTTGGAAGCTGTAAAACCAGTAAGACTACCCTGGCACTATCACAAAGACAGGACTTAGGACAGAGTAACTGACAGCTCTGCTGGACTGCTCATCCTCAAAAGCCACGTAATATAGGCCAGAAGAAGCCAGGAAACAGGCCCAGGTAAGGCATATTCAAAAATATTTAGATTTGGTACTTTTGAAATGACTACATACTATTAGTTTTAAATATGCTTTAATTTAATTGAGATAAAAATCAGACTGTGGTTAAGACCAAGGCTGACCAAAACTGTTATTCTTGACTCAGTTTCTAAGAAACAGGTGTCCACCAATTTTTGAGGCCCACCCATAACACTCTCTCTACTTTCCAATTTTAAAATCTGAATGGATTTTTCCTATGTAATTACACAACTCCAATCTGCTTTGTGCAAGTTTTTTTATATATATACACGAAAAACATGCCCAAGAATTGCACTGCAATGAAGTAGTCTATCTACACAGAGTTTTTGTATCTTGTGAATTCAAAGTCTGAGACTTTAATCCTATTGCCACAAGGCAGTCAGCAAGAGGCCACACATTAACTTCCAGTTCAGTCTGCCTTCTAAAGACTGGAGAAATACTAGTCAATGTATGAGGTCTGACATGAAGCCTTTTAGAAAAGAAAAAAATTAGTGGCTTTTCAAACTCAGATCACTTGCAATGAATTTTCATTGTGGGACTGGGGTCAAATTAAACAAGAACATTAGTTCTTGCCTAAAATTTTGTCTCCCTCATGAAGACAGAACTCATAACTTGAGATATTAACCATATTTCCTTGTAGCTGTATCAGTGTTGGTATGGAAGGTGCTTACTATCTGTTTCTTGAATACCATCCTTCAAAAGGAGTTACATGTAAAATGCCAGCTTCTTCAGAGACATTACAGTTATTTAACAGCCAGTACAGTCAACAACACAACACATAGCAGTTTCATTTTTAATGGAAGATACATATCCTTGCTGAGAAAATTATTACCAGTAAAAAAATCCCATAGAAGTGGCTAAGGTACAATGGAGATAGTTTTGTTTGCCAACAAAAGGCACAATTTAATTTGAACAGTAACTCACCTGAAGTCACATTTTCTAATTTTCCTAAGTACATCTGATCTTCTCTAATTCAATTGCTACCTGTATCGTACCACTGTTTTAGTGCAAAAAAAAAAAAAAAAAAAGAAGAGTATTTTCTCCCTTACCTCTTTGCCAGCCTTTGCTGGAATCTGTTTTTGAGTCTCTCTCAACTTGCGAGCATTGTCAAGTTCTGCCTGAAGTTTTGAAGCCAATTCCTTCAAAGAAAGTGATTATACTCCATTAGTTTAACCATCTGAAACTTTTAAGAGACCTTTATATCGGAATTAACTATTCATTCCATTTTTTTGTGTTTTGAAATTATTTTTTAAACTCTAATGACATAAAAGACTAAATAAGACATGTCAATACAATTTACACAATTCTTTACTGGATAAAAAATTTTAAAAAAATGTTCAGAATAAAAGTATCTGAAGTATAGAAACATGAATTGCCATAAAAAGAGCAGAAAAAGTATCCTTAAACATTAGTACCTTATACTAAGAAATTCTTTTTTTTTTTACTAATAAATGCTAAGCATAAATATTACTTTATGTATAGAAAGCTAAATACAGAAGCTCGAACACATCAGGTGTATAACCTTTCCAGCTTATCCTACATATCCTTTTATTTTTTTTATATATACACACATACACATTTATACACACACATGCAAGCAATGGGTCTAGGGAAATATCTCTCAGACATTTTTGCAATGCAGTTTCACATCTCCCCACACTGCATGTCCCACCTTTGCACTTAAGACCTTATTTTGAGTATTAAAATGTACAAAAGGTGAAATATGAGAACCGTTTACAATCTTGTGTAAATTGTTTCTGATGGTCCTGCTCCATCAACTATTTATTTATTAAATAAATGCAAGTATTTTAGAATATCTTGGACTGCTTAGAATTGCCAGGTGGCAACCTATCAACCTACATGAAATAGAACCACTTATACTCTGACCCCTTTGCCAGTCCCATTGATTGGACTCCAACAAGCATGCCCATACTTGTTGCCCCAAAATTAAGTCATTTGGTCAACACTAAGCAGCAAGTCAGTACAAAAACAGATTCAGAATTCATTTGTCACACATGGCCAAACTTGAGCTCCAGCCATGCTGTTACATAACCACTTGTTCTGGTGTGTGGGGACAAACTTGTTTAAACAAGCTGCATTTTCAATCTGATCAGAGGAAGACCATGAACAATATTTAAAACAAAACAAGGCAAGGATTAGTTTTTTTATTATTTATACTGTTGCTATACTCTCCCTGCAGAACACCCATATATTTTTTGTCAAATTACTCATATTCGGTTACTGTCAGGTGGGACAACCCCTCCCCCAACATTTGCACCCAAGCTTCTGTTTGGGCAATACTATTGAAGCTAAGGGGGAGAAAAAAAGTCTACAAATTTTGCTGATCTCCATGAAGGTCTTTGGAAAACTTTCCCCTCCCCAGCACTTTTGCAACTAGTGTATAGATAGCTTCAACCATTTTCCCTTGTAGGAAAATGTCTTACATAATAAAGTAATATCTTAAGTGACTACACCAGTACCTCACAAACCTATCATATAATTACATTCATAAATACATTTTTCTTCAGTACTGTATTTTTTTAATATTAACTAGGAAAACTACAGATTAAAACATGGAGACATCTATTTAAATCATTAACACTCATTATATCTTAGTAGGAAATACATTGCTTGAAGTTACTTTTAATTCATGTTTGAAGCTAATAAGATTTCAAATGGACAGGATTTCTAGAAAAGGTATAGCTGTTGAAATATTGTAAAGCTACATACACACGTCTATGCCTAAAGTCTGTGGGAAAAGAATTCATAATACAAAACTGGTTTGAAAAGAAAATGTTTATAAAATATGGACAGCATGTCCTAATCCAGCAATAATGCCAAAACATCCTAAAACTTCCCACAAATCAAAGAATCAATAGCTCTCAGGGAATACTAATTTAGCTGTTGAAGTCATACTTATTTATTACTTCTTCGTGATGCAGATTTGGTGCAAATATTGCGACATGGAGGCAAACTAAACAGGTGCAGTAAAAATTAATCTTAAAAAAAAAGATACAAAGGCCCACAGTGATAGGATTTGCTTCTAAAAACTAAGAAAAAAGTTTCTTAGGAGCAGCTATTCAGAGCAAGCACTTAAAAACACAGCTTAAAAACTAACAGACTACTACCTTTTTATAACTGAAACTTCCAGACAGTACTACTGAATGGAATTAACTCATTATAGCCATGCTTAGAGTAATAAAAAATATATATATATATACTTCCAGAGTTTAGAGTGTTCCGAATGAGTGAAATTCTTGATCCTTCAGGATCAGCTTGCTGAATGAAACAAACCTCCTAAAGCAACACTAAACATGAGACTCGGTCTCATTCAGGGCAGGCATTTTGTGGAGCTGACCACAAAACATTGTTTGAAACAACTACAGTTGTTCTCAATGCTCAGCTGGATGCAATGGCCTATGCAGTTCCTTTCAGTTTTATATCTCCATACCATAATTAATAATATAATGCTTATAGAGCAGAGCCATGAACCACAAGGACCTACTTGTGACAAAGCTGATGAAACAAGAAAAGCTCCAGAAACTGTCTACCTTGTAACATAGACAGGGAGCTCTGTAGTTTTCACCTGCTCCCTTTCTAATAAAAAGATATAAAATACTATAAAAAAGGCAGAGAACAATTGGTTTTGGGTATGCTGCTTATCCTACAAAGCCTAGGGATCTGAATCCTCTCCTCTAGTCTATGAACCATTGCATTTAAAGCAAAAGTTACTGTAAAAGCAGTATCTTCAAACCCTACCAAATTCTGCAGGTCTTTATTAGCTCGAATCAATACCCTTTAAAAAAAAAGAAAAGAAACCAAACCAATTAAATCACTGTGAGCTCTAAAGAAAAATTGCAGTAAATCATGACAGTTTGCAAAGACATTACCATGTCTCCCATGAGTTCTGCTTTCACGATCTTCGCTCCCAGTCTGTTCATCTCCTCTTCACTAAGGACCCGAGGCGGCTCATCCTTTGATGATCTGTAAAACAGCAGCTGCACTAAACCCATAGAAAAACACTGCAGTATTCACCCCTGTAATTAAGTATTATTTGCCTACTGTACTGGTACATATGCTCCTACTGTCAAAATAATTGAAAACAACATATAAAAATGTATTTGCAGTCAGAAGTTGCCAAGGACTCTGAAGCCAAAGAGCTTGAATAAAATTTTTATGAAGCTTGTTTCCTTTTACTTTTGAGATCAATTAAAATGAAAAGAACTATCTATGAACATTTTCCCAGCACGAAAAAACAGTCAAAGAGACAGTAGCAGGTATAAGCAGGCAAAAAGTAAGGGAAAGAAGAACAGAAAGTTATTTCAACCCATTCTAATTCTCTTTTCTGGCTTTGGCCATGCTTTTACTTCTCAGCAAAACTGCCCTTTTCTGAGTTGTTTTCCTGTTAGCCAAAGTGGCCTTCCATCTCTTGAAAACTACTTATTTTCCCCTACTTATCTGCTCTCAGTACAATCTCTGCTTCTGAACATGTTATGGCTGATACAGCAGAGTTTCCACAGAAAATTAACTGGTAGCATTTTAAAAATAAGAAGTATCTCTCAGGAAGCCACAGCTAGTAATAAACAGTATTGTATTTTAATTTTAATATTAAAAGGTCAGCATAGGAGTTCTTATAATAATAAATAAAGTCTCTAAGAAATATTGCAAAGAGGCATCAAACAAGTTTGGTTCTTGTTCTCTAACTCTAGGAAAGACTAAAACCAACTAATTCTAAAAGTAAAATATCTAACACAAAAGAGACATAAGAATACAGTTATTATATTTGTTCCTGCTATCAGAAAGAGAATTCACCCACTACTTGATATGGTTAAACCCTGTCAGAGTTGAAGAATGGGAAAACTTGAAGATGGTGTCATCTTTAACTGCCAGGTCTCCCCAGTCCTGAGAAAATTACCAAAGTTGCTTTTCTTTGTTTTCAAGACCCCTAATTCAGAACCCAAAAACTCAGCAAAACATACCTTAACTTCACCAGAAACAAAACCCTCAAAGTTTATCTTCTCACTTTTCCTTAGCCTATATTTTTCAATACCGAGGAGACTATTTAAATAAAGGGAAGAACAGGTGTTTATTACTTCATATATGCTTTTTTTAAGGTGCTAGAGCTTGAGTCATTGTCTGAACTTTTTGAGACTTGAGAAATTGTTTTGATTTGCTTTTTATCTTGTCTCAAATTAAACTTCGAAGCAGTCCCATTATTAAGTGTGACTTCCAGCAAACACTAGCTGATGGACTTTTCCTCTAGGGAGATCCCTTGGACATCCAATCAGCACTTTTAATTAATCTGTGTCATACTACTGTCCAAAACACTTTGATTTATAGGCTGAAGAAACTTCCTCTGTGCTTTAGAAGAGATAAAACTTAAGAGCTATATTTTCAGCATGAGAGATAAAGAACTGAACCAGAAACACCTTTTAATTCAAGCCTTCACCTGAAAGAAGATTTACTTCTTATAACTGACTGACAACACCACTGAAAAAGGACATGTATTACAAGTCTTGAAACTTGTAGAAACTAGTAAAAAAAAGAAAGCAGCAGTTTATCAATTATTCCCAACAGATAACTACTGCACATATTGAAACCTGAAATGTTCCAAAAGCCAGAATTTTCTACAACATTCTATGAAAAAAAAAAAAGACAATTTTCACTGAATGGAATAGGAAGACAGGTCATTTGATATTTCAAACACACAAAATCTCTGAAGTTAAGAGTCAGCTTAAAGGAACTTGGAAATAAGTTAAATCAGTAAGCAAGGGCTATATGGTTTTCCAAGCCTAAGTAATCTCCACTTTACTAATACATCAGCTCAGTAATTGTATTGGCTAAGAAATACAATTAAAATATCAAAGAAGATGTGCAATTAGATTTAATAATACAGAATATTCTGTTTAATAAAACAGAAAACACATGCAAAAGAAAATATCAGCTAAACAGTTCCTATGCTTATTCCTCTTTTGTGAGGAAAAGAATTATCACTTCTATCATAATAATTGAATTTTTTGAACTTGAATAAGCAAACCACTTCCGTACACAATTTCATTTCCCAAAATCTCCAGCTTTGTCCGGTTACAATTAGCATTGCACTTACTACATGCGGCAACCAAAAGCTAAAAGGTACAGCTTTTTGCACTTGCAATTAAAAAAAAAGTGAATCATCATTACTGAACATAGGAAAAAAAAAAAGACTAATAGTGCAGCTGCTTCTTTGAAGAAAACAACACTGAGGCAATGGTATCAAAAATTACATGTTCTACTAGGTCTGGCTAGGATGGAATTTACATTTTCCATAGCATTGTGGTGGTGAACTTGCCAACTCTCCAGTTTGCAAAGCTTGGAGGACCATGGTGGAAAGCTGACAAGGGGGCCTGGGACAAAATCCTCCCCTCCTCGAGGCTCAACTCTTGCCCACTGAGGAATTCCAAGACATTTGAAGGATTTCACTGAACTCCAGGAACCCTTAAAAGACATACTTTCATACATTTATATACATATATCTTTATATATTTATACACATATATCCCTACAAAATATCTCTTTCTGTCTGCATGCATGTGTGTGTGAATTGATTTAAATACCCTAGAGCCAGTATAGGATGAATGTCGTCATCTCAGATCTATAATTAAGTCACTGTTGTGATTGTAGCAAATCATGTTGACTCACTCCATAAATGTTAAATTAGTCAATGATTAAGTACTGTTAAAATCTTCTGATCCATCTTAAAACAGTGAATAAAGCTCAGACTGCTGCTGTATCAGAAGTCGTGTAAAAATTTCACCTGTGGTGAACTAATACTTCTACAACATCATACTAGGATCACCTTTTGCTGAAATCTTGGACACTGGTTCTTTAGGTGATCCTAACTGATTACAGATGTAATCCTTTAGATACAAACCGTTCAGCAAGTCTGAGACTACGACTGAACCTAGCCACACCCAATCTCCATCAGGAGTTTAGAAGGCAAGGGGGTGTTCATTCAAAACCTCATGACACAATGGGATGGTCTCCCTACCCTTTTGTGTCTTCAGTCTCTGTGTAAAGCATTCTAAATCAATTTTCTCTCAATTTTCCTTTGTATGTTTCACTCGTAGTAAATAACAGAGTGAACCTTATCACTAAACTTTGTTAAGTCACATTTTTGTAGATTCATATTAAAACCATTTTTGCAAATACCTTTGATGGTGATTCTTTGAGCGACCCTAAACCACTCATTCATGACCAGCAGCCTGTATGGTGCTGTGGTTTGGACTTAACTGGTGACAGCGTTGGTAACACACTGCTGTTTTGGCTGCTGTTGAACAGTGCTTACTCAGCCTCCAGGCTTTCTCTGGGTCTCACTGTGCACCCCCAGCAAGCAGGATGGGGTGAGCAGATGCTTGGGAGGGTCACAGCCAGGACAGCCAACCCCAACCGGTCAAAGGGCTATTCCATGCCACATACCATCACACTCAGGGAAAAATGGTTGGAGAGTGCATTCTTTACAAAATAGCTGCTGTTCTAAGACTGGCTGGGCATCAGTCTACTCATGGGAGGTGGTGAGTGACTGACTGCCTTTGCATCACATGTTGCTGCCCCATTCCTTCACTTGTTACGCTGCCTTTATTCAATAAGGAGTTTTTCTCCCCTTTGCTCTTCTGATTCCCTCTGCAGAATGGAGAACAAGCAAGCAGCTGGGTACCTGCTTAGCTGCTTGCTGGGGGTCAACACACCACACACACAAAGCAACAACCAGCAACAACCAGCTCCACACCTTCCCCCTCACCTCCCACCCCCATTCCTATCCCTCAAGACAGGTGGAAAACAACTGTGGATTGTGGAGACCTTATACCTCAACAAAATCATGCGCAAATCAGGACTCAAGAGCAGAGGAAGTCTCACAGACTTCAGTTCAGATACACCATGAATCATTCTAATGAGAAGTTTACAAAGTACATTTAACTGGTAAAACCCAGACACTTCAGGGCAATAACTATTTGGGTGATATATAGGAAAACAAAGAGGATTGCTAAATTTGAATGTCTAATAATGTCTCATACATCACAGGTTTAATGCTACAAGACTTTTTTTTCAGAGTAACTAAAACAGGTATAAAAATTTATTTCTCATTTTCCAGCAAAATAGCACCCAGGCAAACACTAAAATACACAATAAAACAAGAGATGACAAACATTTATGAATGGAATTTCCCATAGTGTGCAAAACTATTCATGCCAGAATTTGGAACTACTTCTGCCATTACATATATTCAAGCTCACGCTTTTAAAAAAAAATTAGATTAAGTGAACATCACACAAGTAATTTATATTCTGGCTGTTAATGAAAATTTAAATTTCATTGGCTTCTATCAAAGTATAGCAAGCTAAATCTGGAATAAATACCCAATATATATAAATAAAGAACTGTGTAGACTAGGATGCCTGCTGCTGGTAACTCATGCAGGACTCATTTATGTACATTTTTTCTTTGGAAATACACAGTGAGGTATCTGCAAGTACTACACACAGGGACAATTATAAATAAAATAAACAATTTTAAGGTATCTTCTTATTAGAGTCCAACAAATAATTGAAAGTAAATTCATAACCCCACTATAAGAAGTTTTCTGCACATAACTGACATAAGCATACAAGAAAGAAGGAATTACATTCTGTCAAATGCTGGTTTTAACTAAATCATACCATTCTTCTTACATACTCCAATCAAGACTATTTACTTGTCCAGCTTTCCCAAACAATTAATTAAAACCACCCTGAAACTAACATACTTTTGCACATGCCTACATATTATTGGAAAGATCTGAAGGAAAGCATTCACAGTAATAACCACCCTAGACAAATCACTGGGAGAACCAGCAAGCTGCTAATACTGGAGAACAGGAGGCCTTGAGCAGAGCGAAAGGTCAGTTCTCTACAACTTACTTTTCTGACCACTTCTCCTTACTACTCTTTGCTGTCTTTCACTAAAGCAAGTCAGGAAAAATTAAATTCCTGCTCCCTATTAGTTTAAGATTCAAACCACTACACCTTCCCACTCCTATTAATCCTTCCTCTTTTCCACACAAAATGCATGTTCTAATCAATACCTTCTATTATTTTTCTTTACTTAAGCATGTGAATTCATCTCACAGGTGGAAAACCTATCCCTGCTGTATTAATTATTTCAGGTTTTAGACAGCATTTTGTAACATTTCGAGTTTGTCTTTTATAAATTCATCGACAGTTAAGATATTGTTTTGCAGGTTTTTTGCCTAAGAGGCCAATTTTAATGCAGTGTGAACTAACATTAGAAACAAGCAGAAACTAATCTAGCATTAGCAATTCTCAAATAAGCTGAGGAGACAGGACAAGTAATGGGTGTTCATTACTTCTGCAGTGGTCTATTGTAGCTGCCCTTAGCTGGAGGCTAGACTCCTCCAAACTAAAGAGATCTGATAGGATCAGTTCTCATACTGCCACGAAGAAGGTAAGAGTTTCTGGTATACTTTGCCATGAAAAATACAGCAAAGAAGAAACAAGTAAAGTTCATAAAATACCTAGAGCATGATGTTTTACTGTCAGATAACATCTGTTTCTTCTCAGAGATATCGCCTGGGTACTCCTGTCGCAACTTCTCTTTTTCATCACTTGGAGTTCTTTCCCAACTATTGCCATCAGTTTGTTCCCTAGTACCTGATGATTTTTGATCAGATAGTAATTTCTCATTGCTATCTTCACGGTGTGTTTTGGTCCACACAGCACTATCCTCTTCAGGTTTCTGGAAACGACTGCTCAAAGAGCTATGAACAGGCAGTTTGGAAGAGGACTGCTCTGACTTGTAGTGTCTAGGTGCACTGTAAGACGATGAATCATCTTCAGAGGGTTTCAAAAATTTGTGTTTCATATTGCTTAAAGATGAACCCTTTTCCTGATTTCGTTTTTCACTGGAGTATTTTTCTCCTTTGGAGCTGTAGCCCCTTAATAGGGAGTCCACGCTCCTGTGTCCACATTCTTGGTCTCTTCTTGACATACCTCTTTTGTAATCTTTGTCCTCTTGTGCCCATCCCTTGCCATCCTTCTCCCTAGTATGGCCCCCAAACGTGTTCCTGTTTCTATCATCTTCATCTCGTGTTGCCTTTTCAATATGCTGTTCTTTCTTCTCTCTCTCACTTTCTGAATAGTCAGTTTTCCTCCACCTTCCACTTCTTTGATAATTTTCCTTTCTGGATGCAGCTCTTTCAGCTTCTTCTAATCGTGACTGAAATATCTCCACGGACTATAAAAAAGAATAAAAAAGTCATGACACTTTAAAGACCATGTGGTATTGTTTAAGTATTTTAAATCTGCTCTAGGATCCCATATAATAAAAAAAAAAAATTAACGAAACAAAATGCATAAAAGGCTGGGTAGCTTTAAACTCTTCGTCACTTGAGAGAAGCTTCAAGAGGCTGTTTTTTCCTGCTTCCTTCCTTAGGTCTTACACTACACATTAAGTACTTGTGCCTTTTTATGAAAGTAATCTTTTCCAAGCATCTATTAGTATGAAGAAAATTTAATTGAAGATCCTCACCCCATATCTCTCAGCTACAATTTCCTCAAAATTTCGTTTCTCTCTCTCAGCCTGCTCTTTCATCCTTTGGTATGATTTTCGCAGCCAACTTAATCCAGCATCTTCTACCACTGTAACTAAAGTAGAAAACAATGAGAGGTCACAGTTTTAAATATCAAGTAATTATTCCTATTTAACCTTACTCTGTATTTAACATCAAACCTTCACCTAAACTTAATGTAAAAATTGAAGGGGGTGCAAGTGAAAAACATAATTAATATAATAACACAGTTACATGTTTTCATAAGTTAATACTGGTTATACCTCAGCAATACCACAGATTTAATTTAAGCTTCTCTACTTTATCATAGAACACAACAAGCAGTTTCCAAGACAGGACTAGTATATCAGAAGTTCTGGGGTTTTTTAATGACATTAAGGAGCCTTCTCATTGTTTCCACTTTCTGTGTCCGTTCTTTAGCATACCCCTTATACAGAAACAAGTGGATTCCCCTTCTCAGAAAATGAATAAGTAACCAATTGCTTTCCATTTGAGAAGCTAGCAGAGGTCTTAACATTCTGAACACACACTCACTGATGCCTGTCGCCTCTTACAGGTCACTGATCTCTGCGACTCCTAAAGCAGGCACGAGGCTAATGGTTTGCAGGACAGACTGTCTATGGGGAAAGGCTCGCAAAAAGCCACAGACCCCACTCTTCCCTGCTGACAGAATACAAGGACCCCTTCTATCACATAATAAATGCTTAATGACATCATGAAAAACGTTTTTCTAACTGCGCTTGCTGGAAATAGGCAGGATAACTCTGGGGTAAGGAAAGCAGTGAAAAGGTTACAGAAGTCGTATTTTTCATAAACCGCATCTGTAATGTATTTCATTTTAATGTGACTCAGTCTTCTGTGGGTGAATATTTTAAAACAGTAATTTGTGTAATGGAATGAAAGGAACCAAATGAGTCGACAACAATTTATCTTGTCTTGGTTAAATCATGCTTTCCTTTAATTAGTTCAAAATGGAGAATTTCGGTAAAGATATTGAAGGTCAAACCACTCAAGATTAAAAACCAGTGAACAAACAACATACTATAATATGAACCCAATATTCACTATTGAATTTCCATCCAAATTTTACTTTATTACATTATTATTGTTATTATTAATAATATATATATAATTCATAAGGCATTTACAAAAACATTAGCAGTAACTTGTTAGCAACATAGAGATCAGAAACTGCAGCAGAAATTTAAGAATATTACCAAAAGTTGCTGTTTACCTTTCTTGACTGAAGCTTCTTCATACTTCTCTGGTGGCAAACCTGTACCACCGTCTTTCCAATAGGGATTAAGTTCTCTCTCAGACAGCATGGCCTAAAACAGAAATAATTTTAATATGTACATAGCATATGGCTTGTATTTTCTAGATATTTTCTAGAATATCTACTAAATTTTGTGAGACTTGTGTGTGAAGTCTATGTTATATCATCAGTTCACCCCCAACACTGGCATGCTGTATGCATCTGTTATACAGACTGTTTTGGGCATCAAAGAAAGAACAGACACTGGTGCAGAAAACACAAGAGTATAAACCTGCATGGACAGCAAGGAGTTGGGTGGAAGAGTCTATAAGAATCATACTCTTCCAGGATTAAGCATACATATAAATTGTCATTAACCATATATAATACATGCAGACATTCTGATGATTTAAGATCTCCACATTAAATGGTCCTTCAACAGCTCAGAAATAATGTTCAGTACAAAAATTATGTGGAGAAAAAAAACAAAAAAAGATTAATCTCTTCTCAAAAGACAATAACCAAAGCACCACATACTACACAGTAACAGCACTCCAGGTCAATCTGGTTCCCAGACACAATTAACTGGAACACTTAACAACAACAAAGGACTTACTGTAAAATGTAAGGACAAGTAAATATTAGATGGTGATCAGTAACTGTGTTTTGAGATCAGACTAAATTGCATTTAAGGTTGTCAATGAAACAGTCATCAACTGTATGTAAACAGAATTAATTTAATGACAGCAACCCCTTGCACAGTGAGACCCTGATCACTCCTGTGTTCACCAGCAACGGGGACATGAAAGGCACAGCAACTGCTCTGAATTCTTTCTTCAGGAAAAAACAACCCTTAGCACTCTAGACTTTAAGACAGTAACTTAAGTAAGCTTTTATCACACAAACCAATGGTGCTCCTGTCACAAACATCATGGAGAAGGTGGCCAGACCAACAATCTGTCATTTTCATTAAGTAAAATACCTCAGGAGCCCTTTAAATATTACAGAACTTAGTATTAACAAAACTGCCTTTCTCCTTACCTAGAATATAGTTTAAAGGTCTTTCTCCACAAGATAAACTTGGATATATGAAGCCTTACCATCCCAAACAGACCAATTTAATTAAAATAACTATCACTTCATCCATCAGGCATTAGTTTAAATAACAACAAAGACTTATATATTTGAACCAAGTAGTAAAATGCAGAAAAAATGTAATATATTAATTCCTCCTACCTGCTCAAGTTCTTGAGCTTTCTGTCGTTCCAATACTTTTTCTTTGTGTCTTTCACCTTTGACAGCTGCTACTGACGTTGTTTTCAATGACATGAAGTCTAAATTCATCCATTCTTCTCTCTGTAAAATAAAAACAGAGAATCAGCGTTCATAATTCCAACAGAAACATGGCTTATGTACAAACCAAACTAGCGCAACTACTGACAAATGTTTCTGACAATAAACAGTATAGGCTTTAAAAACACATATAAAATACTTTAATGAAAAGGAAATACCATTTTAAGAACCCCAATCTTTCAATTTTTTAATACACAAGTAAATTGCATAAATGTCTTTCCATAATTTGAAATATATCTTCACAACATACTTAAGACACTATTAAACATGAGATTTTACAGACTGCTAATTATTTGCTTCCAGAAACACTGTACATCTCATCTTGTTAATTTTGACCTCCTGACCTGTTATATCTCTTCTAGTGCATACAAAATCTGCAATCAGTAACTGAGCATAGTTTATACCTTGGATATCTAGGCATTAACTCAACTAGGCACCCTCAAACTCAACAATTATACATCTGAAGCCTGTAAACTGTACCCAAGATATCAGGTAGAAAACTGCATTTACAAAACCTAAGCCAGATCAAGGAGATTTTAAAAATGAGGACTACTCCACAGAAAAGTGGCATATAAAAAGCCTAGATATAACGACTACGTTTATACACACAAATCCAGAAGCCTCAAAAGAAGGCAGTGACATACACATTTTAAGCAATTACTCTATAAAAAGAAGTATTTGGAGCAATTCTATGATTCTAGCATAGAAACCAAAATGACAAGATTATATTTCGAAACATCTTGCAGAAGAGTCTTGCTATCTTCAATAGGGTTCAAGTCTGAGCTGTCAATCTGAACAGATGCTACATGTCACGCTATCACTGTTACTTAAAAATTATATTAGGCAACACAACAGGGAGTTTCAGGGGTGAAACCCAACATTCCACTTCTCAGATCTCCTCTAAGAGAAAGAACTGAAAAATAATCTATCTTCAAGTGATTCAGTAATACCTATGCCCATATTAGCCAGCAACATGAATCAACAAACGTGGATGTGCATGGGACCTCTGGAGAAAGTCATCTGATCTAAACCCCTGCTCAGGCAGGGACACCCAGAGACAGTTGCCCAGGACCATGTAGAGATGGACTGTAAATACATCCAGGGATGGAGATTCCACAACCTCTCCAGGTAACCTGTGCCAGTGCCTGGACACCCTCACAGTAAAACAAAGTTTCCTGATGTTGCAGAAGGAACCTCCTGTGTTTCAGTTTGTGCTCATTGCCTCTGGTCCTGTCTCTGAGCACCACTGAAAAGTGCCCAACTCTGACTCTTATACAGGCTTCAGATTTGTGGTTTGAGGATTTTTATTTTTGTTTCTGTCTTTTTTTTTTTTAAGCAACCACTCTGGACTAGGCCAAGACTGGTCACATCAAGCACCTTAGGTGCACTTTGAGAATACATCTTCTAATTTAGTTTAATCCAACAGGAAATGGATTTATGTGTTCCAAGACTTCTTCATAACATAAGCTAAAATAAAAAAGTAGGGATGACTAGGAAATTCCTGTCAAAAGCACGCTCTTCATCCAAAACCAGACAAGCCCAGGCTATACAGTATACCAAAAAATGCTTTAAAAAAAGGTGGTTGCAGTATAAATTATCAAGACACACACTGCATTACTTCATACTTTTCCAAGACAATAGATATGATTCAGAGTCCCTTTTTATTTCTCTTAACAAGATGCACCAATTCCGAATGAGATACAGGGACTTTTTTCAGGAGAAAAAAAATTTAGACACTAAATTAAAAATCATTTTTACACAACTGAGGATGTTGTGGTATGTGACTATACTTGTTACTAAAATCACTGCAGTTCATTTCAGTATTACTCCATTTTCCAAAATACTGGGCACAGAATTCACTCAGGAAAATCAGAAGAGGCACTGAAGCCATAAAAACTATCGCTGAGAAGTTCTACACCTCTCTTCCTTATATCTGTTTAAGCACCATAGAAGGAAAAATTCATTCATTTATAGAACACCCACCAAAATTATGAAGAAAAAATAACATATTTAGTCAAGGCCATTAAGCTGACCTCCTCAAGAATATCAAGTTGTTAGATGATGAAAACAAATGATGATAAAAGGAACTGGTGCGGGGCAACATTAAGAGCAGTGCTTTCTTAAACACTAAGAGCTATTAGGTAGAGAAGTCTTCCAGTGAATGAAAAGTAGCATTCACCTAGCTAAGCAAAGACATTTGTCTGTAAAATAGGTTTTGTTCAACACACCGCAAAAGAGCTGTCAAGAAACCTAAGCATGTTTCACAGTTGGTCATGCTGAATTTATCACTGGACTAGTTATCAGCCTGCTCACCTGCAGCGAGGGTTCTTTCACAGCATCTGGTTGCTTGTTGACCTTCCCAGCCTTTTCTGTGTCATCTGACTGTGACACATTTGACTCAACCCATTCAACTGAAGAATCCTAAAAAGAGAGTTTAATGTAAAGAATAATAATAACACCTTAACACATTAGTTGATAAAATGCAATACTAATCAAGTATATTGACAATCAAAATCCTGAATTGATAATCAAAAATTAATCATGATTAGCATTATTAATATAATACTTTTTAATATTTTAAAATATTGATAATAAAACCAGAATATTGATATTCCCATAGAAGATTGTTCCTTCATGATCAAAAGACTCCATTATACTTCATGAGCACATCACATTATATAACACTACTTCATACTGGTATTTGCATAACACTGCTAAAGCTAAAACTGTCATAATAAAAACAATATCAAAATCAATTGGGATTACGACATTACAAAAACAAAATAAAAAATGCATTACTTCATTACTAAGTATGTTTTACACTAAAAAAATAAAATCAGCTACACAGTACAATATAAAGCACTGTACATGCTATTGCCTCCTCTTTTCATATCCAGCTTCCTACACTTGCACTTTTGCACTTGAAGTAAATAGGACTCCATTGACAGTTGCTTTGCTATTTACATGAACCTGTCATAGGAAAAACAGACTTTGGATCGAAGTTACAGCCAGGACTGTGTTGTATCCCAGGAGTCACTGTTGTGGTTTTGGTGACTCCCATGTGAAAATGCAGGACATTTGTGCCTTAGGTTACTTCCCACACTGATATCATAGTTCATCTCTGGTATCAGTCCCTAAAAAATAAATCTCATCATGCTGCACATTCCTTCACTCAACAAAAGAGACTCTCTGACTCTCTGAAAATTAAAAATCACACTGCCAGCTGACTCACACCAAAATGCTGGGAGGATGTTTTCCACAATGTGGAAAAACACATTGAAAGCAGCACCAGATTTCTAATGCAGTCTCTGTGCTGTTTTGCCAGAGTGTCCCTCAATACGAAGGCATCTGCTTACAGACTCAAATGCACTTGAATCATGTACAATTTCCATGTTGCTGGGAGTGTCCATGGTTAAACATCCATGGAAAAAGGCAGAAGTAACTCATGCTTAAAATCAAAGTATATTTGTACTTTCAGACACATCGTTCCACCATACACCAGGGTCAACAGGGTACCTACGAATTTTTCCTCTCTATCCCAGAATAAGGATTTTTTATAAATCCTTTAGTTCCTAATGAGTGAATTCAATACTATAAAATTCACAGGCACCCACGTAACAGCCTATGTTAAATTGATTAAATACTCAGTATATTAAAATCGATAAATTTTGCCACAGTTTTTTCCAACAGAAAATGGTAAGAATTAGTCTAAATTTTACTAACCATGTCTACCCACAGCGACTAAAATGGTTCAAGTTTTAAGACTGTAATTTGAAGTATTTTAAAATTCCTTACTTACCGAAGAACTATCAGATAAGTCATCCTTCTTTTCAGATTTTTGTTTCTTACTTTTCTTCTTTTCTTTCTTGGCTTTTTTTGAATGCTTATCCTTTTTCTTTTTTTTCTGCACAGAATGTTCCTACAAGTAAATGTTTGTAAATGAGATCCAGTAAACCAAATCACACACGTACAAGAAAAATAATCACAACCCACTTACCAAACCACACTGAAAAAAGGTAAACCACACATAGCTATGTTTTGATTTCACTAACCTTTCTCTCTTCTGTGGTGGGAGGGGTGGGCTGGGGTGGGGTGGTAGAGGCAGGGAGGGCATGCCTCACATCCATAATTGGTTTTTCTTCCCCCTCTCAATATGTTTTTCACTGAGGCACTATAACTAGACATAGAATATCTACTACACTACATTTATTTTGGTCAAATCTATTTCTTCAAGTATCACTACATCATTAATACACATCTTTCCTTTGTTGAAATATCTGCACAGATTGCTACACTAAAAGGATGTGATATTCAGAGGCTCCATTAAGATTTCTCCTGTGAGTGACCACAAATAAGGCTGCTATGAAGCCTTGGATCCTCCAGATTTCTTCCCATGGGACTTGTCTGGTAGCACTTGCTCTTCTGCATTTTGTAGAAAATAAAGATGGAATTGAATGATGGAAATTTTTTGTCTTTGCAAGTAAAAGATTATTTCCATGTTAAAAAAAAGCTAATATCAAAACATAAAGAAATCAGAAATTATGAAGTTTTTAAGGATCATCTTAAAGCCCTCAAAGTCTTCTATTCACACAAACATGCTGTAAAGCTAACAATCCAACTCAATGATTTACAGTTCCATCACCTTTTCCAGTTGTTCCACACGTTCACTCACATCAGCAAGCATCCACATATCTTCACCTTGTGGATGTTTTAGCAGCTTGCACTTCTCCTTTTCATAATTAATTTTGACCTAAGATGAACAGAGAAGAAAAATAACCAGTGGGAGTTCAGTAGCTTTTCCTTACAAACACACCTCTGCAAGCCACACTGACACAACCATACACAATGCTGAAAACTGTGCTTGAGAACATTTCCTTTTAGAGGACAGCAATAAAAATATTTTTGGATTACATGTCAAAGGGGACATTCAGCTAGAACATATTACACACTCGCCTTCTTAAGCTACAGCCTTGCAGGTCCTCTATCACTAAATTCATCCCATTCATCCCAAATAAGTGTGACACAAAGACATTCAGCTTCCATTCTGCATTCTGAGAAGTCTTCTCCTATTGCAACCTTCATGAACTGAATACATGATATGATACAGTGGACTTTTGAGTTTGTAGTTCAAAAAATTCTCTGGGCAATTACTGCATTGCAAAGCACAGCTCACCATCTGTTAGCAAGCCTATCTCTGAGCACATTCAACTTTGAAAATATCTCAGCCAGATATAAACCTTGAAACTGCAGAAATCCACACAAATATTCTAAAGGAGTATACAAGTATACAAGAATTAGCATTTTGAGCTGTAGAATATTCCTCCCTTTCTGGTTATGGAGATAAAACTAGAAATACTTTCACTACTGCTTCCGAAAAAAATAACCATCACTGCAGACAGTTTCAGTTCCTGGAAAGGATTTTTATAAGCCTCATAAATAAAAGAATTAATTTTTTTCAGCTTATGAAGTTCCCTCTATTACTTCCAGCAGAAACTTTCAGAAGCAAGTTTACTTAATATAATTAGTCATTAGGAAACTCTTTGTCCCAAAGTGCAATACAGCAGATCCTAATTAAACAGAAGGAAAGTTATTTTATATTATTACACCCCTGATTTTGTGTTAGATAAGTCTTGCAAGTTTGAGAGTGCTTTTGGTTTTTTATTTGTTTGAGGGTTTTCTTTTAAAATAACTAAAATCAAAACAAAAGGTGGAGTTTGGAATTTTTATCCTGAAACACCAACTTTCACCAGAAAGTGTTGTCAAACATAAGCCAAAAGAACGCATACAAGTTTTAAAAAGACCAATATTTAAAACAAACAAACAAAAAATCTCAGGAGATCAGACAGCTAGTTGAAGTCGTTCCTCCTGGTCAGCTATTAGCTCTCTACATATACGCTTGTGCACTGCACAGCCTCCCTATCACAGGCCAGTTTCTCCCTTTCTGATACAGCCAAGAAGGAAATCTGCAGCTTTTGTCCTGACAGCAAACAATGCTTGCAGGAGGATGACCAATATACTGTAAGGGTTCAAGGAACAGAAATACGTGCCAAAAAAGGTAAGATTAAGAGGATATTTTTTTAAAAAGCACTAATTCACAAGGTAGGACTGCTGTTGTATTTTTTAACGTTGTCGCCAGCACTACTGAAAGTGGCAGAACACAAAGAGCAAAAAACTAAATAAAGCAAAAAAAAAATCAAAATACTACACATCTGTGCCGAAACAAAGCACCCTTTAAAACCTTTCTTGTCTACTTTCTTAGAAACTCCAGGAGATAAAATTTTTAATGCACTTAAATGCAAGCAAAGCAAGGCTGGTACCCACACTTCTTGATTTTAAACAAAGGAATACTGCAAAACAAAAAATAGTATAAATCTGCTCGAATAAAGAGGCCAAATCTTGGACTTCCACCTCTAGAATGAAGCTGACAGTCTATAAAGGTGAACGCTACCTCTTAAAATATAAAAGGCAAAGATAAAGAATGAGTTAAGAACACACTGAGTAATTTATTTCAATATCAAAATAATTTTCCAGTTTACAAATAAACAAAACAACAAAAGAATAAGCAGGACTATAATTCAGTGAGAATGAAACAGTCGTTAAGCATAACACAGAGTCATCAAAACCACCCAGGACTCAAAAAAATGCAGGCATGTTTCCTGCTATCCCTCCATGATTCAGAGTGCACTGACTAACCCTGGCCACCCTAAGGCACTGGGACAACACCCTTAAAAATTCATGCAGAAATCACTGACTGATAGCTTCTGTTCTAGTCCACTTAGATGATGTTGACCCTTTTGTCTTAAAAATACACTCATTTGACTAAAAAAAAAGGTAACTAAACATGGCACATCCATGGACAAGAGAAGGATAATAACTTCAGCTATGCAACTCACAAAATGTCTACAAGCCACATACTCCAAACTTAAATTTATAACTGGACAGAGACGAAACAGTGGAGATAAAGGGAACCCGAATATGGTTCTAGATGGGAAAAAATAAAAACAAAAACAGACTCCAAGCTCATTTGCTCCAAAAGTAAACAGAAATCACATTGCCAAGATGCAGACTGAGAAAAGGACAGGCTTTTTGAACATTCCATTTCACTTTTGGTTGAGAAAGAACTGTAGCTGGAGTCAACAGTTCCCTTCAACCCCTTTCACAATTCTCAGACATATAAATCTACAAAGGCCTCAAATAAAGGCCAGTCAAGATCAGCTTGTCAACACATCTTCATTGAGTGTGCTCTCTGCCTGTCACAGGAGATTTAGTCTCATCCTTCTCTATAATAAAAAGTATATTTTAAATAAAAGTACTATTTCCTTCATGCTACCACAGTTAGAAATAAACATTGCCTAAAATGAGGTTAATATTACAAATAAGGTATAAAAGAAGATTTTATACTTTTTATTATATCTAAAATAAACAGAAAAAGAAAAGGCAAGCACTTAGGTAATTGAGATACATGATCCTAATGAAAGAGGTGGATCATCATTTTGGCTGAAGAACACATATTTAGAACACAGATTGACTAGAAATCATCATCAGACTACAGATTGTTGTCTCCTGAATACTAAATGAAACAGAATTGGGCAAGATGAATCTGTAGTGGCAGATCAACCACCACGCTGTTAAGAGAAAGACAGAAACAAAAGCATCAGGTGAAAGTTTGTTTTTTCTTAGATGAAGATGCAAAATATAGAAGATTCTTAACAATATATATACATAAAATAATATTAAAGAAAGATGCCTAGAGATTTAAAAATATGAAAGAAGTCATATTTTCACATTAATTATCATTTTAACCTAAGACTAGAGAGTTAGCAGTGATACCCTCTGAATCTTTCTATCTCTAAAAACTATCTAGCTCCCTCAAATTACAATATTCATTTTTTATTTTTGGTGATGCTTTCCCCTCACACACACACAATTATTTCAAGTGAGGATGAGGAGGAAAATCTGTCTACATTACTTCATTAGCTTCAAAACTTACCTTTATATTCTACTTGTCTTTTATAAACATGCAGGGCTTACTAGCATCTCATAAAATGTAGAAAAGAAGGAAAAATTAATTAAATCCCCTGTCATACTTACTATTCTATTTGTGAAGGTCAACCCACAGGAATTCAAGCATTTAATTCACATTAAGGTTCATTAATACTTATCATACCACAAAAATATCCAATAATTTATACAGGATGCTACATTTCTGAAATATCTCTATTTCAAGAGTAATGCAACAATTATGCAAATGACTGTGCAAGATACACATGAACAGAGAGAACCATTACAAGCAACAACCTGTCAAGAAGGGCAAGCATCAAGCTACATCATGGACTTCTGTGACACCCTAATAAAGGTGCTCATAGTCTCCTTTGCAACAGACACAGGGTGAAGCCTAAGGCTGGTAAAGCACTTTGAACAGTTAGTTGATAAGGTGCTATTAAAACAATAATTACAGCACTATGTTACCAATGTTTGCCATGGTTAACAAAGCCAAGCTTTGTAGTTTTTATCACAAGCAGGCAAAAGGGTTTTGGATTTCACAGGTCCATCTGGATGTGGGAGGAAACCAAGCTCAAAGAAAGTGATTTCCGTTTTTCATTAAGCAGGTCATTAAAGCCAGCCTGCACGGTTGCTGACAACAGTATCTGCTAAACAAAGAATAAAGCTTGCTCCAAAACAGCCTGTAATGCACTGCAGACACAAACACCAAAACCTGTAAAAATTACACCACGCCATGCCAGGAAGAAGCAGAAAAGATCAAAGACACTGCCAACAGCCAACAGATTTAGGTCACACAATAAATGGAGGTTGTTACACAACAATCCCCAAGGATGTCCAGAAGGGATGATGGGATGTCAACTAGGGATACAAAATTCCCTCCTCAGCTCACAGAAACCTTGACCAACACTCTTTTCTGACCCCAACTCTATTTACCATTTCAGTTCTCACCAAGGCCAGAGGAAGTTTTCAAGACCACTACAGGGACCATGCAATTTTCTGTCTTTAACTGTGGTCAATTTCCAGTTCTTCAGACAATAACCCCCACCATTCAACAGGCAATTTCTCCATCCAAAAGAATAAAAGTCACCTTTTCTACAGCACAAATCAGATCAATACGGCATGATAAAAACATTCAACACAAAGAGCAACAGCTCTACTGTCTATTTGTCAGCAAAGGGGAGGGCTCCACTCCCATGCCTCTCCTCTCTGCACTCCCCCTCACATGATCCCACCAACCTTACCCACCCAGGCCTATCCTTGCGCTGTAGCCTCAGGAGAAGCCACTTCAAGGACTACCCTGACACAAAATCCCACCAAAAGCAGGGTGTACCTTCCTGCAGATCAAGCTTACAAGCTGCCACTCTGGTAAGGTCATCAAAGCTATTAGTTAAGCACAAGGAACGAAGGGAAAAATGTGCACTTTGGGGAGAAGTGTGGAAAAAAACTCCTTTCAGCAACAGCTTTCTGTTAGAAAAGTTCAAAAAATCCCCAGTCCTTCAGACATCAACATAAGGAACCCAAAATACATACAGTGAGCTTTTCTTTCTAATTTCAGGACCACCTCCCATCCTATCATACAAACCCCTCCACTCAATTAATTGTTTCGATAATCAGCTATCAGAAAGGTTGCTGCAGCATGTATTACCCTCCCACCTTCCATCACCCCAAAGCTCAGAGCCAGAGAGCCCTGGTTATACGAGTGCTTACCTTGAGGGAACCTGAACATACCTTCCTTGCAGTTCTCTC